TTGTCTTTCGGACATCTTCAATATGTTGTCATCTGACCGAGAACGGTAAATCGCAATAAATTCAGATGGATTAATTACGTTATGTTTATGCTCTCCTAGGGCCCAGATACCTTTCCTAACAGTAAGCGTTCAAACACACACGTATCACTCCATAGCAGAATCAGGAAAGCTGATCTAAGTCAATGAATCATAGTACCTGAAAATCGCTCTTTCAATTTGGACTTTACTGTCGGACACCGATGACTGAAACTAATAGAGATCCATTGTATTATGGTCCACTGCGTGTACTGACAGTTATCGATTAATGCCTGCTTAGTAGACGAATGCTTTGTCGCTCTTTCTCTGGCCAAATTCTTTGCCTAAATGGGTGAAACTAAAAGTGCGGCAGATCACCGACTTTCTTGAGCTAGCGAATTAAGACATTTACACCGGTTAACACGATGAGGATTGTCGGTTGCTTTGTTTCGTCTTGATTGTACCTACCACTGTTTGTAAACTAGACGCGCTGACGTCAGTTCTGTATGTACTTAGTTAGTGATGAAGTTGGAGCACAATGATATCTACTTTGCACGCTCTGCTAAGTGCTAGTCAAGACTTATTTATATACAGCGAATAAATACTTGCTATTATGATGGTTTTGGGGAAAAGCAAACTTCAATTTAGTGTCAGCAGATTTGCGGGTGCGTTGGCATTACCTGCTTTTTAATTTGCATGTCTAGCATGAGTGGTTAAGAAAAATATAGAAATCTGGATTTACCAATTTTTACCTAGAAGTATTAACCCTTTAGTTTTCTTACCGTCCACATGCTACCATCTAGGTCGGTTTCCCAAAACTGATCGCTAGACCTACTTCCCTCTAAACCACATAGAGCCTGACTTTTTCGCTTTGTCTATGGGATACTCAAGCAAAATGGCTTACAGTAGATTGCTACTTAGTTAGTGCGCACATTTACAAATAATCAGGCAATTCCGTCAGAGCTATGGATTTCGCGTTTGCTAATATACTACGTACGGATCGCTCGGACAAGCAAACTCAAAGTCCTCCAATTCGAAGCTGTCAAAGCAGGAACGAGTACTAGATAATGTTTAAACTAACTTTCTTGCGAATAAGCTACATTCAACAGATTGAACTGCCTAAAATCGATGTAACCATAATACTTTTTGCATAATCACATTCACCCTCGTGGATAGATTGTGCTGCAGTTGCCCGAGCTAATTTGAGTGTTATGCTAATTGTTAGTCACTAGTGAGTCACGAGATCCTGCACGGCTCAATCGGAAAGCTACTGAGTGATCTATTTGGCGGACAACTTAGAATCGCTTAGTACAAAGCTAGGCAAAACTTACTCCGAAATCATGGTAGAGAACCTTATCATAGTACGATGAATATCTTCGCTCCAGAAGTTACCCTTAAATTGACAAACTCACGGTTGTTTTTAGACAACCACCTGCGTACATAAGCTTTCCCAAAACAAAAGCGGCTGAAACCTCAGATTTTTGGAGGCTTTGCATCGAGTCTAATTGCAATGACCAAAACTTCAGTTTTCCCACTCATTCGTAAAGGGTAGCACTGTGTTTTGTGAAAGGGGTTGAAGTCTCATGGGAGTCAGCTCCACACTGTTCTTCCTCATCTACCCTTGTGTGTTCTCAGTGAACAATGCTTGCACATTAACTCCGAACCGAAAACATAACAATGATCCATCTCCTCACAAGCATTTGATTTAAATGGAATTACTGTTAGGCTCGTCTGTGAGATATGTTGCGATGTTGATATCTCCCATCACGACAACTCACGACGCTTTGCGTCCATGTATTGCATCCATCTACCACCTTTAGTCATCCAATGCAAAGTATAAAGGAGAGTGATGGGGAAATAATGTTTTATAGTTAAACCGGAGAGTGCTAAGTGTTGGCACTTAGTCACAGTAAGCAAGAAATATCCCAGTACATTCGTGAATAATCTGTGAACGAGCAAGTCAAAATCTAAGTTGAATATTGCAACTTCCTATTAACCGAGTTGGGACGATTAACTCATGGTTGCCCGTGAATGCCGAGAAGACCATACAATGTAAGTAATATTGAAACATGTATCCCTTTGTGTTAACATATTTTAGGCCACTGCTTGTCAAAATGAATCACGAATACTTTAAGGAACCATGTTTATCAAATACCGATCAGGATATTTTGCATATTCCAAATTCTATAATTATCTTGACAAATCATGGCGGCGGGTAGGGGTATATATTTATATATCTACACACACCCCATTCTGAGCTTACTGCTGCACATATCATGCGTCCTCACCGCATTTGCGCTACACCGACTTACACTTAAATTAGGGCTCCTTATCTTACATAAAAAGCATTCCACCTTGATTTTGAGGGTCGTTTTGAATTACACGTGTGGATGGATCGTGACACGTAGACCGAGAATCCCATTGAAGTAAACCTTGGTCTTTCGACCACGAGGACCGTAGCTGAAACAGATAGGAATTGAGAGTTGACCGCCCGAAAAATGGCACTCTTTCCATTCCATTCCACCTTATTTGCTTTACTCAGTTCTATGATTACACTGTATGTTCCTTGACAATTTTGAGTGTCTTTTCCCACAAATTCTATCTTGTTTATTTGATTTCCCCAATGTCGCTGCGCTTGATGTGAATTTGCACAAGGTGCCGACATGTCAAACACCCTATACTTAGAATATACGGGCTCCAGGAGATTGAGTCGTTGTTGTGGATGGACGGGGTGTACGGTCATCGTTACCGTGGTAGGCTCATAAATGGTTCTGTACATCCAATGTGAGGCTGGCTACGGCCCAGCCACCGCCTTGTGTACGTCATATACGCATGATTCCTCAACGGGACGGACAGGAATGCTATGCTGCGCATGTTGAAAGAGTGCGCGCGGGCTCCGTTGATGAAACGGGGCACCCATCCACATACCTCCCGGTCTTATTCCTTCGGGCTTACACTGGACATGGGGTGTGTGGATGGATTTGTGGACAATGCACAGCAAGCTATCACTGGTCACTTAATAGATGCAAGTGCCCTTTAGCTGTCCTTTGGAGGCCTCAGTGACAGACACATCCCGAACGGATGCCGCCAAACATATATATATATATATATCTATATCTATATATAGTACGCGTACATGCTTTCTGTTTGAATGAAACATGGTTCTGACGCTGGAATTTTTGAATAGACCATACTATTGCTATTCTAATCACTCCGAAGCTATCACGCCGGATTATGCATGAAGGTCCACGTCCAAGAATAATTAATATGCGCGCTATTTTCCGTTAACCGATTCAATCATACACCATGCATCCATAGTTTCGCATACCTTATTTAAATGTCTGTCAACTGGTAAAGTGTTACACAAAGAATGAGGAAACTTTAAAGAGATGTGCAGTCGATGAATACATTTTCTTGTCTAGCTGGAAATTATGGAAAATCAGCTACTGACTATAAATACTTCGAAGGAAAACCCAGTAGACTATTGCTGCGTCATTCGGTTATGTGATACACACTTATCCACTTATATTTGACAAGTCCCTGTTCAAGTGGTAATAAAGTTCACAATAGACCTTACTTCTTTCTGTTAATGAAAATAAATATTATTTGGTAATGATTCCTTAGTCGTTTAACGCTACTTTTTCTACCTATCTACTAGAGCACTGTAGGATGAAGCTGTAAATCTCTGAATGATAAAGGTGTTTCATTGAAGAACTGGCGTTCTTCGTGTGCTTATCCGCCGGTCGTTTCAATAGGGCAACTCGTACTTTCCTTTCTGTTTTGAAATACTCCGTTTTTCAAAATTTAAGACCCACGCCTCCACATAGTTGAATAAACCTCATTGATTGCTTACATGTCACGACAATTAGACAAGTCAGATTTGTTAAACAGTGAAATTGTGACAACCCACACGATGAAGTGGGTTTTCACCTTTTATATCTATTGCGTACAGAAATGTACTATTGCACCAAACATAAGTCATCAATAAGCCAACTCCGAAATTTCTTGAAAAATGTTTAATGGTTGGTGCAACTAAAGCTTACACATGCTTTAGATATGCAACACATTTAACAGAGTACAGGGCCACACCTTAGTTAGGCCCTCAACTATAACGTATAAATCATGATTGTGGCTGCAATTGGGAAGCGATGACCCAATGTGCAGTGCATTTTCTAACTCTCATTTGCCGTCAAATATATGTGGAAATGGTTTGTGAATGTAGCATCAAAGCATGTGGGTCCATCTTAGTAGACATTTCCTGCATTTGCTTGGTATGTTTTGTCGCGTTCGGCGTCAACTGAATGACAACGAGAAGACACGCGTAGGAAAAGTTAAACTTTTGCTGCGCCTTTTTCTACTCAGGCCTGAATCCATCTAGCAAAATCTGACTGGTTACCACGACTACCTACAACGCTTCAGTGCTATATGATGTTGAGCACATTTGAACACTGAGGATTTGCTATCGTCGGTAGGATCTAGAAAATGAATGGCTACCAATGGGTTGAACCTTTGTGTGGTTCAATTCGGCCTCACGCAAATCACCAGGCACATTAATTTTTGTTACATTTGAAGTCTTGCATTGACAGCCATGCACCTTTTCGAACTTTAGCTAAAAGCTAGATGTTTTGCAGTAACCCTGAAATCGACCATTGGTAGTCCTTGGGACATGTCTGTTATTTGTCATCAATGGCAATTTCATAACATGCTCGAGTCATACTAAAGCATTCAAAGAATTTAATGGTTGTTTTTTAACAGTCCTGCCTTGTTTATTTCTCGTACATATCATATTGAGATAAGTTGCTTTATTTAAGCAATGAAAGAAAGCTTAAGGCTGTTTTCCGTCTGGATAGAGCTGAACAAAATTTTATATTATTTTGCTTGCAAAATTTATCTGTGCATTGTGCTTATCCGGGAAATTTTAAATCCGCCTCGGAGTTTCGGAACCTTATCCAATTCCTGCTGTTTCCTTTTGGGTCTCAATTTAGTGTCTTCCACTTGTAATTCTCGCCTCCTGTCGGATCGTGCACAAGTACCGGACTCTGCGTTTATTCACTCAAGTGCAGTGAATATGCAACACGGCGCCCAAGCTGTTCGGTGAGTCGTCTTGTCGCAACCATTAGAATATTCTGTTCGCAATATGCTGTATAAACCTCGATGAGTGCAAGATACAGTTCACTTGATAGACATTTAGATGTCATTCATTGTTCACTAACCAACGAGAACGTGTTGGTTAACCAATAAATATGAAGTATATCTGCTGTTAATTTTGGATCCATCAAAGTAGATTTTGCAAATTTCGCTAGCGACGATGGTGGTATTTGTAGTCCATAGACTGTACTAACATCTAGGTTGACAAGAGGAGGTAGAGTAGCGCATGGTTGCAAAGTTTAACTTGACCGTTTGTTCTCTATTTTGAGTACCAGTTTACGTGACAACTGTAAAGCGCATAGTGTTGACTGGATATCTCCTTTAAACTGAATGTAGTCGCCACATATCTCAGCAATTGGCCATAATTTACAAATTTAGGGTGCATAAATATTTTGTTCAGATCAATTGCTAAGAAACTTTTTCCTCTTCATTTGCAATTCTGTACAGCCAGGAGTAATCTATTCCTTGCTAGTGCTATTAGATTTCAATCTTATACGCAACTGATCATTTTGTTCGCGAGGTAAACACCCATTGGATCAAGCCTGTATGCTATTAATTCACATGCTTGTGGTGCTAACTTACGATAAATACAGCCTACGTCTGTACAGCTGGAAACCCAAAATTACCTCTATAAACTGCAGTCTTTAATCATCGCTAGTAGACTGCTAATGTTTACAAACGGTTCACTGCAGATAACGTGCAAAAATCAGTGACCTCTTATCAAGATATACGAATCGCACGTCAAGCCGCAGCAGTTATTTGTCCCGTTTTTGGCTGTATTGCTGTAAAACTAGCGATGTCCACTGCTTAAATTCAGCTGACTCTATGTTCCTGAAGTTGTCACCAATCATTAGGATAAACATTCGTCTCAGGATGTGAAAATAACTAAAAATTAATAGGTCTCCGCCATCTTCCCCAACAAGTATTTGCTTTAATATCAATAAGCATTTCAAGTTATGTAAATGCAGGAAAACAAATGAGGAAGTGTTCTTGACCTAGTTGCGATGAAAATGGTTGAACTCCACGTGCGATTAATTGGTCACTGTCGATGCGTGCCTTTTTATGAGCCTGTTTCCGGTTCACTACTCCTTGTAGCTCCCAGTATGTTTCTCTTGCTTTACTGATAATACACTTTTTGTTTATTTGCTATTCTGCGCTTCGTCTAAACCATCACGTACATTGGATCGATAGTCTATTGTTTGATATTGAATCAACGAATTTTTACTGTAAAATTTTATTGCCATTTCCTTATAATAGGCTTTGTCAACGGTAAACATCCCCCATAATTTAACTTTTAGACTTGTTATGAGCTCTTCCGATCAAAGATAAAGTTGAATTCACCAAATATAGAGCTAGAAGGTTTTGTTTTAATTAGTCAACTTCTAGTCCGGTTTGGAGTTTGGTTGGACAAGCAACTAATATTTTTTATGCTTTTATATCGCATTTTTTTCTTTTTACGCGCCTACTGCACCAATTCATTTCGCTCGATTATTCCTGCGCGACTTTCATTCATAGTATTGCACTTTAATTAGGTCATAACGACTAATTCCATAGCAGCCTGTTGAGGCGGAACAAGATGTGAGCCTATAGACACAGTCAGCCCTAAACTTACGCGCAACGGTTAGTTCGACAGCACGTAGCCTTCCCATGTGCTGCTGCAACTTCTGTTGTCTGTAGCCGCAACCATAACAGCGGGCAGTGAAATCTATGTGCAAGAGCACTCACAAAATTGTTCCCAACCGGAGCAAGGCATCTGTCCACTTAATCCATGATAGTGCACAAAAAATAGGTGCTGCTTGAAAAAATCCCTAGTTGATATTTTCCTGTGTCCAACAGCGCACAAAAATGCGGGCTATTGCCAGTTTTCGACAGTCATCGGCTTGGTGTTACAGACCATTGAAGGTGAGGTTGTGTCAGTTTTTATCAGAGAAGTTCCATCTAATAACTTTTCCGAACTAACAGATTTCTAGACAATAATATATCACTTCATCTTCAAGTCTTTGTTTCGGGTTCGTGTGAGACCACTGGGACAAATAGAAACGAACTGCGTACGTAATAATTCCCTCCAACAGACAAGGTTTCGTGATTTCTTCAGTCGTTTTGATGGAGCTAGTTTTAGCACGAGTAACGAGATCTCTCCTTCTGTACTGCATCACTGATGTTACACTCACTTAGATCTCTAATAAAGGAAACTTGGAGCTTGATGAACAACAGTAATGGCAAGCTGCGCTCCATTACAGCCGGAATTTAGTAATTTTCGCAAATTTATGTGTATTTGCATAAATGAAACTGGTTTATCGGACTAAACTTGCCGTTTGTCAGTTACCCTGATGGCACCTGTTATTCATTTTACTTTTGAATTTTTAGGGGGTGTTGCTACTATCTGAGTTTCCTTTATGGAAACTCAAGCCAACCCAACTTTTGTGGCTCACACGATGCTAACCGAATTAAATTAGGCGGCTTACGTTTAGTGTTCACAATTTTTATCATTTACTCGGTAACTCATGGAATCGGACACATTTGCATACGGTGCTCAGTGTTAAAGCTACTCTAAGACCATGAATTTGCACATAGTTTCTATCCATCGTTACCGATACACGTGATTTGACATATTACACATTTAGTCAGGGTACACTTGAGCTAATCAATGCAGACATCTTGACGCACACCGAAGGCTTCTATACTCGGGAAAATGTGGTTTAATGACTTAATTTAGAAATGGCACAGTACGTTTTCAGATTGTGTAACTGCTGATTAAGTACAAAGCAGATTATAGATGAAAAACAGAACCATTCGTTTCCATTATGTCAAAATGTGCTCCTCCGGTTCTCAGTCAAATGCTTCAGTTGGCAAATACCTTGTTAGTATAGAGCAGTTTTGCTCATTACGACCATAAACTAAGCGCAGAGAATCCAGATTCCCAAGAAAACACTAGGGATATCACTGCTCATTAAGCAACCAGTTATTATGAAACCACCTTGTTTCTAGTTGCTTTCCGTAGCTTCATTATTTTCGATTTTCAAACTGTTGATCTAAAAAGGTGGTATTGATGGTGTTAAAACCACTGAATGCAAGTTCACCATCCGACTGGTCACTGGTTATCCCATTCTCTCACCCACAATAAACATAAAGTTTGTGTAAAACATTGTGATAGGCAACCTGCTAGAAATTTCGCAACAAATTGGTCACTTCCAACAGACCAGCTTATGGACTCTTTACAAAATCACCTTTCCCGGCAGTGGCTATCATTCCATAGGCAATAGTAAACCCAATCTCGAGGTTCACCTTCACGAACTAATTTACTGACCTTGTGGGTGGGTACGTATGGCAAAGGTCAAAGGTCAGTTCTCCATTGTGATGCGACTGTACTTTTATCGTCTGGTGTGCGGACAGTTTCTACCCCATTCACGAACAGTCACATCAGCTGATATGGACATGCTGTTAATCGCCGGCAGAAAAAGGCGTTTCGGTTCAGCGCACCGACGGGTTGACCTTCGGGCAGCAGCGCCCAATAGAACTATGGGGGTTGAAGTGGATTGCATATTAAGTGTTAAGAAAATCTCAAGCACAGCGAAAATAAATGACATAGTTCACATGACTATCCAGACTTGTTGAAGTGAATTAGGCTAGTCAGCATTTCAGTGTTGAACCAAAACAGGCACTGGTTATTTCCATGGCGCCCCTGTTCAATATACCTTTCATGATTGAGCGAATGTATTTCTTATGATATAACCCGAGTGAGCAGCGGACTCAGGCTCATATAGCCATCAAAAATCCGGGTAATCTGAATAACTTTGTTCGGGACTGTAAAGGGCTACCAGAGATGTGAAAGAACTGTTGATGCATAGCAAAACCTTGTTTATTAAAGGGTGACGATGTTGAGTTCCTCTTAGAAGAGTAAAATTTTGCCTGAACAATAGCGACTAATTCGCAGGATAAACCGTATGAGGAAACTCAGAGGGGTTTACAGATAAATTTAAATTACCCATTTACCATGCGATTTCCCTGCGTCCATAAAGCCGCTGGCATCATGGGAAAATGAATTCCTCAGTCTTTGAAACATAGGGTCGCAAACAGGGCTGATATGAATATGATTGAAAGTGCCAGTGGATTTGTCAGTAAATGTCTTCTGTATGCGAGTTTTGGATAAGAGGCGTTTGTTTTTAATGATATGCGTACTTAAATTGACATTTCACCAGGTCTGAACTGCAGTTCCACCTAACTTGGTATGTTATATTTTACTGGACCCAGGATGTGCGTAGTCTAAATTTGTAGAATCAAAAGGGACATCCACTCCCTGGGTTTGTTGGAGAATTTGGTCTTACATATAGCTATCCTGAGTTGGTGTAATGACTAAAATTCACTACTATACATCACGATGTTGCTTACATACTTAACACAATTTTAGTAAATGAATACCCGTCGGTTTCTTACAGATTTAAGTTTATGGTCAACAACTTTTGGTTATTTACGTATGATAACTGGCCATACGGCCATATTTTAAGTCGCATTCCCTGAATGTTTGATTACATTTGGGAAATACTGTTTCTTTTAGTGAGACCTAGTCGCCCGATGCTCGAAACTGAATTTCGTACTGTGTAATAGGACGGCTTGTCACCGAACAACGCCATGTCAAAAATGTCAGACTCCTAGATTTCAGTTCATTAATCTACCATGGAAATCTGACTGGGTATCACTTGATGCCAAGTTGCTGCATACCTGTTTGTATTTCCGTTTTCTTCAAATTTGCACGCCAGCTTTTATGCCAGCATAATGCCTCACTGGGGTCTCCCTGTATTCATTCGTAGAGTAGACAGGCATTTTTCCTACTTGTCGTCTAACATTAACAGTAATTCGACCGCAGCTGATGCAGGAATCTCAATTCAAGATAATGGTTGCTTTTAAAGGTGAAACTTATCATTACCTCCTGTTATGGTAAAATTAATCTGCTGATTATCCTGTTGTGCGAATCAAGGGTCCGTGGTGCTTTATATTTGCTCGTATGTCTGGTTTAGTGTGTGCATTCACTGTTTAGAAACTCCGTATGGTACCAATTGATATGTGATCATTGATATGTGATCATTTAAACTAGAAACTCTATTTTCTCAAAGATAGCTTTATGATGTTCAGAATAAACTACTTGTTGACAAGCAGCAATACTTTTGCCCTTGTATAGAGGAAGTGCTAGTTCTCACCAATCAGTTCCGCCTGGTGGCTGGCTTTATGAACCCTAATGGGTTCATTTTCAGCATATACACCACCACTCGGATATCTGGATAATAATATCAATATACTTGCTTAGGGAGAATATTGGGTAAAAAGCAGAACTGTTAACATAACAGCCGCTCGTGCAGCATGTTAGTGACTTTTGCCGTGTCAACAAGCACACGTGAGAGATAAGGCAAACCTCTATTACGATATGATAACCTGCGGAAGCATAAAATTGAATTTCCTACGAGTAGAAGAGCAAGAGAGCGTTTTGGAAAGCTAATTGCGAAGTGCATGAAATTGATCAGCTAGTATCTTAGAAGGAAAAACATTGCAGGCATCAAGATATCTAGAAATGATTAAAGCAAGCAAAAATCCCTAGGTAAGCCGCTGTATCTGGAAATATCATTTATAGAGTACAGCAATAAGATGTAGTTTTTCTGAAGCAGTCTAGGGAAAATGAGGGGAGAGAAGCGTAAGCAGTATGGAATAATGAAAGAGGTCAAAAACGGAGTAGTAAATTCGAGGTACTAAAATTACCTTAAGTTCGAGGGCATAAAATGAAGGTATTCCGACATTTTTGGAAAAGGCTACAGAGTTGCGTGGACCAAGAAAAGTTCTGGGACTAAAAGGCGCCGAGGTACTTAATGGAAGAAGAGCTGGGTATGGGATTTTCATTCGCAGTAAGTGTGGGGGAGAAATCTGTGAGGGAATGCAAATTATCGCCATGGAGAAAAGAAAATATTACATCACTGCATTTAGGAGTATTAAGCTTAAGAGATCTGGATGAAGACCATAACACCAGACCTTCTAACCTACTTTGAAGTGATATACAATCCTAGTTATTGGAGGCCATACATCCCAGCATCAGCATATTTATATCAGCATATTTACACCCCATAAAGGTGGTTTATATAGGGTGATGTTCAACATACAAGGAAAATACAAAGGATAATGGGACGTTCCCTATAAATGCCATAGAGGACAGAGGATTTATTACCGTTCAACTTGGTGAAGTATGTACGATCTATGAAATTGTCACGTCAAAGACTGCATATATGGGGGTGAACTCCATTTTCGGATAGAAAGTTTAGCAACATTGCCCTATCCAGGCTTCCAAAGGCCTTCGTATAATCCATGAAGAGAAGCCGTTCGGATTTACAATTTTGATTTAATGCAGAGGCTACAGAATGAATAAGATATGCCACTGCATCCGATATGGAGCGTTAGACATCGTCTTCAGTGGTGGCTGAAAAATTCACGGAAGTAACCGTCTCGAGAACTTTTAGGAGCACAGATTTACACGCAATTGAGCGATACTTTTGGGATTCATTTTTTGGTACTGGAGTGATACTCTCTGTTCCCCAAATGTCCGGAATCACACCCGTAGTGCGGCATTTGTTAACGAGCTTTGTTAAAGGCAGTGTAAGAGAATCAACACACTCTTCCAAGGCTAATGTTGAGGAAGCATCCAGAGCACAAGCTTTGTTGCCTTTACTCTTTTAAGTTCCTTGAGAACTTTGCTTTGATCGAAGGGCGCAGCTGGACTTTGGCTAATGAGGACAAGGAAGATGAGCTAAGTGAGGTGGAACTAAACTCCGAATTTATTTTATCCACATCCACTTCACCGCTCTGGCTGCAAACGCTCTTACCACAGAGCTGCCTCAGAAGTCCTCATAGATCGCGACATTTATGGTTGCCTAGAACTGCTTCGAGATCTAATCAGTTTAGCCTTTTTATCTACGATTTCTCCCAGTCAAACTGATACTGAGCTGCCTTGTGCACATAATGAAAGAAAAGCGCCAGATGGATTCGTTAGGCACCTCATACACGACAGCATTTAAAAGAATAATTAAGGAAATTGCAACCCCCACTTGCGTTCTTAAGTGAAAACCCTGTGACCACGGCAACATATTTCCTCATTTAAAACTAACATACCTATATGAGGAACTAGCTCCTAACAACACACAAGCTTCAGCCCCGCATAATCACTATGCTACCATTATAATTGCACAATTTCGGCTTCCTGTAAAACTGATATATTCACCGCGTTTCATGCCCTTAAAATATCGCCATCACGAGTAGTTATACAAGAACCTGAAGTACTGATCTACCCGGTGGACCGCACTGGCGCGTGTGCCGATGGCTAAGAAGAATTTTTTATCCTGTAACTTACAATCTATTAGATAATTGATTCCATGAACACAGTAGTATATACTATTTTACGGTGCTGTATATGCATATGATAGTGCGTTGCCTACTTTCAAAAGTTGTAATGTTTTTAATTACGTTCCAACTACACATACGCCAACATAGAACCACAAGTAAAATACCTGCTGCATTTTCTTTGAAAGGGATGATCCATCCGACTCCAGTCTCCAAGAACGAGCATGGTGCCCAGATGCGTTAATTCACATGGAGCTACGTGAATATATTCAAATTGACTTAAGCCATCAGAGGGTAATCAAGCTTATTATTACGAAGGGACGCGTAGCGCAAAGCAAGGTAAGGAATTTTGGTACTCGATGCGATGTTCCGCTAGAGGAATGATTTCACACGGCGCCGTAGTTAGCCACGCGTTGTTACGACTGATCTTCTTAGAAAGCAGTTCGAATTCTCATGTGATTTAATGAAATTTCGCACTTTGTGTTCCGCACATATGCCCCAAGTTTTACACCTCTTGTTAAGCGACTTTCTCATTTCCAGAGTCGAGGACATTCCCAATTTTTAACATTCTTGTCAATATTTTTCCCGTTTTCTCATTCTGACAAGCAAAATTTGTGCTCTTGTCATACTAGTTCTACTTTGATGCCTCAGCATTGCATGTGCGTTTTTATTACTTTGGTTTCACCAAGTTTTAGTCGACCCCATTCCTGATCGACAATCCAAGCAAACACGTTTTCACACCGGACCTCACACATTTTTGCAGCGCTGCAACTACGGAACGAAACGGTGGCGCATCACAAAGGCCAGTTGCACCAATGCAAACGTTCCCTTAAACAACGGGCACCGCACCTGTGTGTATTTTGACTGTGACTTGAAATACGACCACAGCTGACTACGACGCACGTCTGTACAGATTAGCAGTTGGCGCTGTCAACTTGTTTTCTTGCCGACGCTAATTTTACCTTGTCCATTAACTGGTTAGCGTGGAGTTCGTGGCAGTCACCGCTGCAAAGGACAGCTATGCTCACTGCATGATCCACAAGGCTGTACATCGGGCTGCGAATAGGTTCAGTGATAACCGTGTTTCAACACTTTCTACATCGCTCATTCTTGCGACAGTTGAGTAATAGCTAGTGAACAGCACAGCTACAGGCATAAGTGTGGTTTCTATGTTTGATGAAGCGGTGAAATTCCAATACCGACTAAATTTAATTGAACCCATTATACCTATCTTTTCATTTGGCTGGTTCCTAGCATTAAGGACCACAAACCTGAATGTAATCCGAGGGCGCGTTTTCGAGCTTGCGTAGGGGGTGGGGCGTCGCTCGCATTATCCTCAGCACAAGGGGGACTTGTGGTAGTTGCGCGGTAGCGAAGCCTCGGTACTGCTTACTGGTGTACTGCTAATGAATTCCTTCTATTTTTATTTTGCCGTTTGCTTCAGAAACCTTTTGTATTGCCCGTAATTTGCAAGTTAACATATAAAACCCAGGCGGAATCCAGACGTAAGCAAGGCTTACACTATCTCTTCACTCTTTAATCAACCTTTGAAGATGCGGCTTTACATGTGCGAAGTGGAATCCTCTTCATTTCAGCTGAAAGCTCGGATCCATAGCGTGGTGTACACTGTATCCAGTTTTAAGGACCTATTACCATAATAATGCTAGTACTGCATATATCCATAGTTCGAACGAAATGATGCCGTAGGGAGACCATAAGATATATATATATATATATATATATATATATAATATAATATATATATATATATATATATATATATATATATATATATACCTTAATAATTCAAACAAAGGAATGCTCTTCAGAATAGACTTTCAAATTGTGGTGTAGCAACGAACCGCTTGACTGACTTAATCAAGTCAAGTATTAAAACCACTGTAAACCGTTTGAGAGCATGGAAGAATTCCGGTACCTCTCGATGAACAAAATCTGCTCAGCGCATCCTGTGCCACGGCAAGAAGCCAGCCTGACATTCACTGATTTATCTAGTAAGGAGATCAGTGTGAGCACACTTAAAATAAATGTCAGTCGCTTAGTGGTATTTAGGCAGTAACTGTTAACATGACGATTTTTACTGCAAGGACTTCGGCGACTTTTAAAATAAAAAATACTGGCTGACAGTCACCAGTCTTAAGACTCTTTGTCCTAGTGGCGATTGGTCTCGAGAAGAGCGACTGAAAGTCACCAGCAAACAGCATCTGTATCTTTGCAACTGCAGTGGACGTTGGTCTGGGTAAGATCCATTCTTCAGCTTAAGCCGTACCAGCCAACCAACGGATTTTGTCACTTGTGGGAGTTGAGACGCCCACGTCCAAGACGGGTTTACTTAAACCGGTTAGAAAATCTGATGTATTATGCCAATTAAATTGCCTTCTAGGCGACATGGCTGACGGTGATTCGATTAACCCACTTTCTTTAATTATTGTTTTACACAAGAGTCTTCTCTTGACATATGAGATGATAAGTAGGAGCAATTCTGTTATAATAAATGGCATTGGCCTTCCAATCTCACGGGTCCTCACTATGTACCACTACCGCCAGTAGGTTCTGTGACTCTTCATTATGTTACCGACACACTAAATTTAAAAACGATGGATTCGAGTTCCTAGCTTCAGTGGGGCTGTTTAAAGTCCCAATTATCCACCTATTCAAACGCAATGAATTAAAGGTGTCGCATTTTTCCACTCTATTGAATCACGAGAGACGCCAATCCTCAGCAATACAAAATATCCCTGTTAATAGAACGAATCAATCATCATCATCATCATACACGTTATCTGGAGGTGGGGCACACCTCCCCTACTGTGCCGCAATATATAGAAAAAAAGAGAAAAAATGCACCTGGTGCAAGCCGGCTGAGCTACAGGTAACGGATGGGCATCATTCCAGTAAGCTATCAGCCGGCTACCGCGCATCTAAAAAATACTACGCAAAATTATATAAAGCTAACTAGGGAGATAGTGGTTGGAGGGGGAGGCTAAGAGGGGTGGGGTGGGACAAAGAAACTCACAGCACAAGTGCCACTGAGGTCAACTCCTAGCCATATCAACAAGTGTGTCCAACCAAACGTGTTCATCGTCTTTCGGACCCCAACCAGGGAGCCGAGACGCTTCAACCGAGCCCAGCTCAGAAGTGAGGGCATTCATTCATCTCGACGAAGTCATCGCTTGGCCACCCCTCCTCTTCTTCCATCCACACCCCCGGCGCAAACAACGCGCGTCGCCGGAGTCGGTGGACTGTCATGCGTAACACGTGTCCAAGCGATCGGAGCCTGGTGCGTGAGTTAACGGTGCTGAGCGGTTAAGTTCCTTTTCCTGTGCCGTAAACATGGCGTCGAACACGCTCGTTGCTCACGCGGTGTTCCCACCAGATGTGAGCTAAATTACGAAGGCACCGGTGGTCGAACGTAACTAGCCTCTTCAGGTCCGCTGATTTAAGAAGTCACGTTTCACAACCGTACAGTAGGGTCAAACGTACCGTTGCATTGTACCCTCTACCCTTCAGGGCAAGAGTGATGTCGCGCCGCCGCCATAAATGGCGTAGGTTAGCAAAAGCGACCCGAGCTTTTGCTATACGGTTCGTGATTTCATCTTCAATCCCACGGGCGCTGATACAACTTCCCAGGTAGTTGAATTTTTGAACGACTTCTAGCTGATCCCCACCAACGGTCTGCGTAGAAGACGGTCCGGACCAATCTTGGAGGAATGCTTTGAACTTCGAGGGTGCGAAGCAAAGCCCGAAGTGACGGACAGTCAGTGCTAATCTGTCCAGTGCCACTTGACACGTTTGTGAGCTGTCACAGATTAGGACATTATCATCAGCATAATCTAAGTCAAGAAGTCGTTCTCCTTAGAGCACATCCACACCTTTAAAGTCGTGTCTTGTGAACGCGATTTCCATGACTTCGTCAACAGCGAAGTTGAAGAAGAAAGGTGACAGCGGACATCATTGTCTCACGCCGCTAAAGATATTGAAGGGCGACGACAACTTGCCGTAAACCCTCACTCTTCCCGAGCTACGCGCATATAATGCTTGGATAATATTCACATATTTCTCAGGTACACCTTTCCTGAGTAGACAGTCCCAAAGTGCAAGTCTATCCACCGAATTGAATGCACCTTTGATATCCAGGAACACGACAACGGTGGGCCGCCAATATATGTGGCGGTGCTCCAACAACTGACGCAAGGTGAAGATGTGGTCAATACAGCCGCGATCTCGACGGAACACGGCTTGCTCTTCACGAATCTGGCTTTCACACGTGGCAGTCAGTCTGTGAAAGATGCCAGTGGCAAGCAATTTGGAGGCGTGGAGATCAGACTGATTCCTCTATGGCTGCCGCATTCCGATCGTGATCCTCCCTTGAAAGTTGGGACTATGACGGAGCGGCTGCAGTCGGTTGGGACAGTTACCTGCTACCACAGTTTAACCAGTAATTCGTGTAAATTATCCACAGGAGCAGGTCCCCCGAATTTTAAGAGGGCAGAAGAAAGATCATCAGGTCCTTCGGCTTAATTCAACTTCAAAACAGTCCGATCTCATGTTCGACTTCTGAGCGAGAAGGGGGATCCAAAGGGACAGCCCAGGGAGCAGGGCGATCAATGGCCGGCGAGAAATCTAACAATTCCGACCGATTAAATTACCTTTCAATGTGCTCAGCCCAACGCTCCAAGCGTTTTGACAAGTTGTGGATAGGTTGTCCACTCTCGTTACTTATAGTTTCACTAACACCAGGTCTCCTGCTGCCCATTTCCCGTATCAGACAGATTAACTTACGATGGTTGCCAAGGACCGCGGCCATTTCCATTTCTGTTGCATGATGAGACCACCAGGATTCGCGGTCTCTCTTCAGGCTAGCACGGAGTTTTGCCGAGAGCTCTTTGCGAGTTTCATTGTGTTCGCTTCCAGCCGGAATATGCCGGCGAGCATCTATAAGTTCATGAGACTGTGAAGAGACCTAATGTCCGTGTTGGCGATTAGACATACCACATGAGGATTTTCCTGCTGCCAGTAAGGTCTGGTGAATATGAGACCAGTGAGCTTCAATTGCATCCAGTGAGCGTTTATCCAACTCGCATGAAGCGTACTTTGATAGGCATTCAGAACAGCTGGCTTTGTTAGTTGGCTGGTGTCAATGCGCTCACAACATCGTCTTGGGCGTCCGCCAAAGCGCATGCGCAGGTCAGCACATACAAGTGCATGATCGGTGTCCATACCTGTGCTCCAAATTGAGCGACAGTTCTGAATGCAGCCTCTCCAGCGGTAAATTATCGCAATGAGATCAATTTGCTTGCATAGCTGGTTCGAGGCTGGTGGGCGCCAAGTCACCCTTCGGCGGGTGCTGTGTCTGAAATTAGTGGTCGCAAGAAATAAGCGAGCGTCCTCACACAAATGAAATAACCGCTCACCATTATCATTACGGGAGCCTATACCATGTTGGCCGCCCAGATGCAACTCATCTGTGGATAATTTTCCAACTTGAGCGTTCAGATCCCTAGTCAGCACTACAGTGTCCGAGCTTCTTCTGTGTCTAAGGAGCTCGTTCAGTTGATGATAGAAGTCGTCTTTTACCGAGTCATCGCTACAGTTTCTCGGTGTATAGGCAGCGATGACGAACAGACACCTGTTAGTCCCACGCGACTTCGAAGCTTTGAACGAGCCAACCAATCGGACCGCACACAACCGGCTACTGATTGGAATCCGGTCAACGAGAGCAGCTTCAGCCAGGGGACTCAGGGCGAGACGAACAACGACTTGGCCGGTGCTCAAAGCTGCATCGTCACCGGATAAGCGCAGTGAGAAAGTGCTGCTGGTTTCACCTGAAGGGGATCGCAAAGTGAGCACAGAGCTCGAGTCATGCAGACGGGGCTCCGATAAGCAGCAGATATCGATCGAGAGGGCCTCTAATGTTCGGGCAAGTGCTGCCTGTTGACCGATTTGTAGCAATGTGTGTACTTTGAGGCATGCAAATCTGAGGGATGATCGATGGCTCCAAATGGAAGTCGATGAACTGGGTTTGGCCGTTTGGTTGGGCATGGGCTTGTCGACAGGACAGGAATGACGCTCCGCGTTCACATGTGGGCTGAAACTAAAGGGTAAAAGCCTAGCAAAGCAAGGTGTAGGAGGGCCAAGAATTGAAGGGTTGAAAACAGGGGGATAAAAGTGAAGCTGGAACGGGACGTTAAAAGAGAAACACATAAGAGGGGGCTAAGAAGATGGGAAGGCTTTAGCAGTAGCATCCAAACCCCTATCCACCCTGTTCGATGCAGGAGATAGGGCACCGTTTATTACCCTCTGCGGTGGCCAAAGCATCATGAAACTGATTGAAGAGAGATTCATTGTATTGCGTGTGCAGGATACTGTCAGGTTGCCCAGGCCTAGACAGCAGAACGATTAGGGTTCTCAAGCAAAGCTTTTGGTTCAAAAATCTGACCGCAAGGCAGCGGGTTTGGCCTTGGGCTACAAAGAGTCCGTTTTAAGAATAAGGATCCACTTCATTCCAACCCCCAAGCTGGAGGGCCAGGAGGCTAAGTTTGTCTGGTCTCTGACCATTGACCAATCTGGTATGTGTGGATCTGAAGGTGCAAAAATACACCACCCAGTATAGCTCAATGGATCACTGAGGCACACAAACCATCGCACCACGGTTAGGTCCAGCCTCATTGCGATGGAGAACGAATCAAAGGGAAACGGATACCGTTTAAAATGTACTTTTCGATCACTCCCATTGGACTCAGGCGTTACTTGATGACGATTACATGGTAGATGTGCCGAATAGGGCTGCGCATTGAATGGAAGGTCTAATTTCGACGGAATCAAATCAATAATTTGCGCGTCACTAAAAGTCGTATATAATTACAATGGCAAACCAATTCACAAAGAAAGCTAACTGGGGGATAAGTCCAAGGGAATGGTATTCCACGGTAGGAGCAAGAGGCGTACGAATGACTTTTGTAAGCACAATCCCGGCTTGAGTTGGCGGAAAACGACTTCAGGGTCATCTGCTCTATTTCTGGGCGTTTCTCGTGCGGATTCCAGAAAATTCCACCTACGACTGAAGCTATCTATATCCGCCACCTTAGGCCGGTTTGTACCCCAGTTAATCATTAGCTGTGAAAGCGATTTGCCTATGTATTTATCTGCTAGCTTCAGTGTCCGCGAGAGTTACTTATTCGTTACTGTTGGATACAAAGTTTTAATCGATAGGCAGCTATATTCAGTACACCTAGCCAGTAATGACACGCAACTAATATCTGAGTCGGATGAGGGTTACCGAAAAGAATTCTTTACTCAGCATCTGCCGCAATTCGATTTGTTCTGATTGCCACCTTAAGGACGACAGTGATATCTGACGTGTTATTTCAGACTGATGATGACAAGCAACAGTTTTTCAATATTACTAGAGACAACACCTTCAACAATAGACCCCTGGTGGAAACACGAAAAGCAAAACTCATACTTCCATCCACACTACTATGATCAGTGTCGTGGTAATTCCAATAAGCAACCGACTCTAGAATTTAGGTGTGCCATCTTCAGCTGATGAAGATTCAATCACTCGTCGTCCAAACTAGTCTGTATCCATGTGACTGCCACGAAACTCAATGAAAACTTTTGCGCTGGGACACTGCCCTAGTGCTGTAGGGTTCTGCTCAGCTTACAGCTAAAACAATCGGTCGCGTTGTCATTGCAGCATGCATCTACTCCAGAAATTTCTACAATGCGATGATCTGATTCGTATTACCGAAGGTAATGAACACTCATTTCACCTGCAATAATCACGATGTCTGTGGGTTTGGTTACTGGGATAAGGGGTTAAAGCTGCTTAGCAAATGGGCGAATAGCCGATGCCATTACTCAGAGTTCGATTGCAGCTAGAAAGTTGTTTTTCAGGTTGATATCGGAAGGAGTAGGCATATTTTACACAGCGAACTTGACGTTCAGTGCTTGTGAATATTTTTTCCTTAACAGGGTCGACAAACTACGCCCTACTTCTACGTAAGGTATAGTAGAGAAGAAACTGGTGTCTGGTTTGAATATCGTAAAGAAAATGGCACGCAGGTGAGTATCGTACTTGTAGGGATTTTGTGATGTTTTATTCGTATATGCGCGAGCATATCTACCTTAGTAGAAAAAGAGCCAACCCCATCTGAAAACAAGTTGACCGGTACATATTTTAATACATAACCTATATCCTGTAGACGAAGTTTACAAATGCTATTCCGGTAGGTGTTGGACCAGTTTATGTATCACACCTTACCCAATGATTCTTTCGCGTTGACTGGATTTACCACACCATAAACACTGGACGAAGTCTTTTACTTGTCTCTGGCCCATGTTCTGTGACTAACCATTTTTTATGCAACTAAATTTCCTGAATGCAAACCTGTGAGTTGCGACTAGACTGGCCTCTGCTTACTGAACACTAGAAGAAGCTTGGCATTTCGGCACTTCCTTATATCTGCGGTGAATTCCTTTATGTTTCCAAGTAGGATAAGGCTGGAGGTAAATTTCACACAGGTTGTGATTTTGGTATTTTCCTTGTTGCCATTCAATACATTGCTACTCTCTTTACTTGGTATTCTAGAGTTGAAACCGAGTAGAAAATACAAGTAGACCAATGTAATTTAAGCATAGGTTGCATCTTTGTACAACATAACATCAGTATCTTACTCGTCATATTTCAGTATCGCTCTATTAATTACCGAGACGTGGACACACAATACACAATTTTGGTTAAAACATTGAATATTCTAAGCGGATGAACTGGCGACTATGGAATCCAAACAGCTACTCCATAATGCTAACCGTGTTTTCTTCAGTTTCGAAATTAGTTTATTGTTAATATTTTAAAATTTATGTCCCTCTTCCTTAATTATTATTTTTTTACTGCAGGACCACTGGTGAAAATTTAGGGTCAGGAAAGTGAACAGCTTTCGACATACTTGTGGTAATACCGAGTCTCAAAGTGTTATTATAAGTGCTTCGCACTGTCACGAACGCTCCCATCCCATCCTGAAGACGAATGCTGATGCTGCTTGAACAGGCATTGCGAAAGCCATCAAGAGCCTTCTAATGTGTAATGGAATTTACTTGGTCGACCTAAGCTACATCCAGTGACCTCCTCAAATTCCTCGAGTTTTAGTGCATAGGCTCCTTAGCGAATACACTGCGCACAGTTAACCGATCCAACTAAGATGTTTCCAAATCCCTATGATTTCAATTTTCTGTAGCTCCGGAGTTAGAAACTGAGTTTATGGAATGAAACAGCCCCAAAGAAACATTATCCAACTAACCCACTAGGCACAAGCCTTGGTCGCTCTTTGTGTCTTCTGATTCTGGTACACCTAGTTGGCTCCTAATCCGACCGAGTGCTTTTATATTAGACGGCACAATTAGGATCCGCAGTAATTGAGTTTAACTTTTGCGCATCAGGTAAGGAAGTATTTAAAACCACCATAACTACACCATCTTGTTGGTGTATAGCCCACTCTGTCGGTGCTTTGCACAAGTGGACGACCCAACACATACTTTTTACACGCAACCTATTTGTATCCGACGAAAAGGTTTACTACATAACGGTCGATAACTATTTAATTTAGTTCAACTGGTTGGCTTGGCGCTGAACATTACTCGTTAGGTCACACGGTTTTCTTCTGTTTACTAGTTCCGTGGGCGATATTACGATAGAAACATTTCACAAGTGGTATTCACACCGCGAATTATTTTGTTTTGTATTGATAACTTTATTCTAGGTAAGCAGTAGTATGCAAGCTCTAGGTTTGTTCCACTGGCTTTCAAACTATGAGTGTTGCATGGGGTTTCATTTGATTTTCCAGCGACTGAACGGAAATCAGGATGCAATGACCGAAAATTACAACACGTTGGAACCACCAATTGTGGCCCGATTTCTTCGCATTTATCCATTCAGTTTGGAGCCCACCAAGACATGCTTGAAACTGGAACTACTCGGTTGCGATGCACGTGAGTCCTGTCTCTGTTCTGGAGCATGGTGGATGAGTGCGCATCCAGGTGCTTATGCTGAAATCATGAATGATTTACAGGAAAAATCAAGTTCTGTCCTGATACCGAATCTTCTAGGTATCTAAGTATGGTCCATAGTAGAACTGTCAAAAATAGTCTCGAATTTCAGTCGAACTAGCGCTGCGCTTCGCTGTTCGTGCAAACAGCGGCTGATTTTTTAAGTTTATTGAGGAACTTGTGTGAAAATATTTCGCCAAGCAGACGGCGTGCAGTATTGGCCTCGTAAGTTTTAGTGATGGACGTACTTTAGCTAAAGCGTGTGTGGTTTTCTGGAAAGATATTGGTTGGTATTTCGAAACTTGACATATACACGCCACAATACTAGACACTGCTTGGTTGTCTTAAATTGGTTGTTTTCGTTATCACGTAGGCCACACCATACTCTAGTAAGCCCCGACTACCTTTCAGGACGTCACGGGTTAAAAATTGACTGTATATTTTAATCGCAATACAACTTGTATATTTCTGTAAGGTTCCTTACACTAGATATATAAATTCTGTCGGCGATTTTTGGCGGTTCGTTGAAAAATGGATCTGATCGTTTATCATAAACATTTAAAAAATTGATAATTGGTTGTCTGAATTTTACCTTGTCCAACTGAATTTGGAGGGGTTCTGGGATGGAGAAAAAGTTCCGAGGATCTACAGTTTCTCAAGTTATAATTTCGGGATCAGACGACTTTACCAACCATCCGGCACTTTCACGACGATCTGTTCAATAATCTCATTGACGAATTAGCAAACTGTACGGAGTGTGATATAAAGATTACTCAGCGTTTGCGTAGCAGCATATATTCACCGCTACACAAACACTCCACATGCATAAGTTGAGCCAAGTTGCTGTAGTTAAATATCGTAATCATATTAGTAATTAGACTTACTTCCTTTTCTGAACATAATCCTTTGAATCACACATTTTACCTTAATCGGACAACCGAGAACTCAGTTGGGTGTTATTCTTTTTCATTTGAATGGAGTAGCTGATGGTGTCTTTTATTCCCAATATTCTAACCACTGTTTATGATAGCAACGAACTTAAGTAGGATTGAGTGGCATAACCTATCTGCGAGTGCAATGCCTTCAGTCAACACAAGCATTGATTGAGCAACGGTTATTCACTGAGATAATTCTGCCTCAAGAGAATTAAATGGCAGCAAATATAAATAATAAGCTTAAACAACCAATAAAAGTAACGGGAAGGTAAAACAGTGTGAGCATTTTAATTAATCGTATACTACGAAATTACAGATTGAAACCGAATTTCCCTGCAGTGAATTAATAAAACGAATAACCGCGTAATACAATATTAGCATTCTTTCCCCTTTATCACATGCGGAGTTCAAACATTTGCAAATCAAAACTGAAACACTTTTTCGGATCTTAATACTATGTAACCTACTATGTCACTTTTGCTTGTTGACCCAACGAAAGTCAAAAATATGCTTTGCAAGTGGTTGTTTGGGAGACTCCTATGTGCCTCTCATTTTTCCATCCATACATGTATATTTTATTGGAATTACCTTCCAGTACATCCGCAGCAGTGATGTCCCTGCTGAAAAATGAATCCTTTTGAGTTCCTAAGGTTTATTGTGACTTAACTTTGACTTGACTTATACTTTGATGGTCACAGTGTTTGCTTGGAATAATGGCATCGAAAGATTACTTGTGTCTTGCAACGACAACGCTGGGTCCATGCACCTCTGATAAGCTATCGCCTCGGTCAGCTTTTGAAATGTCCAAAATGTTCGTCAACATCAGCGTGTTTTTGCGTAACTGAGCCCCATTGCTTTTGTGGAAAGCACTTTTGAACACCTTGATGATCCAAACCGGAAGCCAGGCATCACAACAGTTCCAAATTAAATAGCTGGTGCAACTTCAATGATTTTTCTGATTTATACTGCACTGAACATTTGACATGTATCGTCAATTTGTCCACCGCCATTTATTCTCATTTGCAAGCCTGTGTCCGTTCCGAGTATTTAATTAATCGGCGAGGTACCTAGGCTGATTGTGACTGTTGCTAACTGTGGGTTGGTACTTTGCACGAATCATTAATTTTGCAGAGTTCTGAACCGCACAGTTATAACTTAGTCTATCCGTTCGATTTCACGTATGGATGATCCACTCATGCTGCATCTTTTATTATGAAGCCTGTATGTATAACTGGACGATTGCACCTACCACTGACTGGCATTCTTCAGCAGTCTTGTGCTATTTGGGCTTTGGTAACTGCACCATTAAAGTTTCTGTACCCAAACAGAAAGGTATACAAGTGTTTCTGTGCGTCATTAGTACGATATTTAATGAACTTGTGGGGATAAGCAAGAAACCAGGCACTCCCGGGTGATTTCAATCTTTGAGTCAGCTCCCTTTGATTTTTCCGTGCTACGTGGATCTAAATTGGTTTTATAACGCCCATCTTAGAGTTTATCAAAATGAACGTTACGATCGCTTTTTGGAGACTTTTATCTAAGTGAAATAGGCAAACGGATTATAGTTACGCATTCCACTCCGTTGGCTCTCAGGTGCAGTTTTCGTTCACTTTGCAACGTATTGGACGCATTTTCAGACATGTAGACTGTGGAAGATAATAAGTCGGGCGAGGTCCGTTGATCACTAAAATAATAGTAGTTGATTTCATTGATAGACCCATATCAATTAGCCACTTCGACTAGTTCAATCAATACTTCATCCCTGTCTCCATCTCCCTCAAACTTGGGGTGAGAGGTTCTGTCCAGCTTAAGGGATTAGAAGGGAGGGTCTCACTTTGTCCTTCTAAAACGTTTTCAACAAGAATGCTACGCGAGTGGCGCCAGTCGTTGCTAGCATTGTCAACCTAATTCCAGGCAAGTTCTGTCACCAGATTAGTCGCATTCTTTCTTTCATCTCCGTTGCCTAGCGTCCTGGGAATATGACACACATATTGCTGAATTTCTTTCAAAGGAATCAAGTAATAGAGGAGATAAATATGAATTGCACCTGGAATTAAATGTGTCCGAAGTGACCTGACTGTTTTTTCCCTCTATATAAAATGAAGTTAATTTTTGGCCAGTAACACTATTATACCTCTTTAAGATGCTAGGGTACTTGACTTGTAATCATATAACATTTTATTTACGGAACCTTTATTATAAAGATACATGCGTTACCGACAAGGTAAAAAGTCAGTGTTATTCAACCATAACATAACTTTCCTGGAAAATAACCTTTTTACCATTAATTGTCAGAAGCACTGGATCGTAACACATTTACTATGTACAACTGCTTGTTCATCAACTATATACTTTAATGGTTGGCGCAATTTAAACACAAACACGGTGTAAAGAATGACAGCTAGCTTATGCTGGCAACCAATTCTTTCAATTATCTTTCTCCGTTAGGGTGAAAAGCGTTCAACTCATGGGAGTTTAATGTCACTTATCTCTTGCTTTGCTTGCCTAGAGTAAATGAGTAAAGGCTGGTAGAATAAAACACCTGGCGAAATGGATGCTGACAAATCGCTTGTTTTGACCATCAGCATGTTAACTACACCCTGTTCCCCTTAAACGAGACTTGATTTTGCGACGAAGACATTACTGTACGTGCCAAGTGAACTGTGTTGACTGTATACCCAGGAACTGAAACAACATTTTCTTGCAGACCGGTTGGCACATGGACTAATCCTGTATCCCAGGAAAAACTTCTTTTCAGACATCCGTAGGATGTGCCAAGTGCTGCATAAAAATTCGACGTTTTCTACCAAACTCCATCTGGATTGTTGCGTCCCTTTTAAACTTTCTGGTCTTCATAATGGAAGCTTTTTATCGGCTTACTCCAACACACAAATGTCTGCTAAGCAGCTTGTACGAACACATTTGTCATGGGTGAAGGGGGAGAGAATTCCAGGCACATGGGTGAGATTCCCCATTTGCGGGAGATTTTAATGTCCGGACCAATGTACGATGAAGCCGAACTTGCTTTCATTAGGTTACGGTAGAGTAGCACTGTTTATTCATACAGATCGCCACCTTAACTTTATATATATATATATATACATTTATATTATAACTGGGCTTCCACGACGATGGATGCCGTTAATACCAAGTGAAGTTACTGCCTTAAAGTTTACAGCTTGGCAAACTCTGTAGTTAATTGAATTAGGTCATTTGCATAGCCGAGTCAATTGCGTGCAACGCGAAGTCACCTGCTTGTTAAATACTGGTTATACGTCATCCATCTGCATCAGATTTGCGAAACTTCGGCATATTTTGCATGCGTAACATCCCCTTCCATAGCTTATTAAGTTAATTAATACCCAAGGATGCATCTTTTTCTCTGCACTGCTAGATGCATTTTATGACCTAACTTTTTATTCGTTTTCCTCTTTCTCCTGTTCAATATGAATTAGCCAGTTTCCAATGACCCTTTAAATGCGACCGGAAAATTTCATCGTGGCAATGCTATAAATTTCAATGCATTTTCTTCATTTTAGATGGGGTGGTTGAATATGAAGCACCTCAAGGAACTTTACTGTCGAGCACCGCGTCGTCACTGTACATTTACAAGTTGAGAGACATGGAGATGCGCCTTCAAGATACTAGTTATGACTTTACTTCTGGCCAAGGCGCAGTTCACATGAATACAGGTCAAAGCCACTCTTCGAATTCCGGTATTCTGAGAGGGGGCCTTGGAAAATTAACCGACAACGATACAGAAGCTGAGCTAAACGTGGGGCAAGTGTATTTTTATATACTGAAAGCATCATACACATAATACTATTCAAAATTCTGATTTTGTATGACCAAAAGAAGGGCCATTATCTATCAAGGATTTCTGTATTCGCCTCCATCCTACGAACCATATTTGACCTACTTATACTTCGCTGACCTAACTTTGTATGTCGCCTATTTGTCAACGATGTGCAACGTTGCGCCTATACTTCCTTAAACACTAAGGGTTATTCACTAGTTGTGGTATTCGATAAACTCGAGGGTATAATTTGGTAGCTTATATGTTTGCTGCCAATTCGAGTCTTAATTCTAGCAATTTGCGAATGGTTATTATGTTTTTTAAACATAAAGCAAGGATAAAACTTCTTCGGACGTTTTATGGTTTGATGCTCTCCGTTGATGTGTCTGAGAACCCTTGGTGTGAATGGCTTACGATATGTATTGTTAATTTGCTCTCCTATTCATTTCGAAGAGAGCCTGGATTAGATAAGTCACTGGGACTGTATGAGAAAGAGAAATATTTCCCAGCATGACCTGCTTACAAGAGCGATTGCTAGATGAAACCGTCGAAATTAGCTTTTTAATTTTCACAGTTGACGCCTAGGTACGGAGTTATTTGATTCCCATATCGACGATCATAACTTACAGTGTGTGAAAATCGCGTAGGCCACCGTGGATTGAATTGCAGGAGCAGACGTTGGAAACCCAATTGATCACCGACCTCGCCATTAAAATACAGTGTGTGGAAAGTATTACACATGTTCGATAAAAAATAAAAAGATATTTTCAGGTGAATTAAGGCTTCATTGGCTTAAATATCAAACCAGACGTCTGTGATCCTTGTCTGTTATTCGCTGTAACTTATATTGTCATTATGAAAGTAAAGAAAATTGTCAGGTGCACCATTTATTCAGTTGCCAAATTAATCATAACGTTTAATATGATCATTATTTCTTATCCTTTCTTTCATAAATTCTTCACTTCTGTTCGGGGACTGTTAAACACACGGCTGAGATTAGCACAGTATTCCTGATTATTTTAAGTGTAGTTTCTTAGTAGCTCCCATCAAAGTATAAATGGTTGGCTCATCCAAAAAAGATAACTATGATTTTCATTGCAATCATTTAGACGTATGTTGCAGTCACTACTGAGTAATACAAGAAAAATAACTTATGAAATTTGATCATGGTCTTCATGGAGCAGAATGGAATATATATATATATATATATATGATAGCGGTGTTTGCTACCTGAATTCACATACCAGGAAACGATGCAAGATACATGTCACTCCAAGACAAACCACTACGATTTATTTCCTGTCGGATTGATTATTCTCCTGGTAATCTAAGTAAAAACCGAAACCTAACATTTCTTGGTGTCGACTGCCAAGATGCGCCAAATCAGTTAGGAACGAACTGCATACTGAACAGCAACAGTGTAGGCATTTATGGTCACTTTAATTGAACAAAAATATGAAAAATGCAAGGAATATAACTTTCTAATTAGAGGTAATATTCTAGGGGCAGTTGTCACTGGATGAAATGGTTGTGGAAAATATTGACGCCTAAAGTTTGCTCTGCAAGTGACTATACTATACACACTGCTGTGCTCGAAAATAAATCTACAGTTGTTAGGCAGTGGAAGATACGGATAACATTAGAGATTCATCAGTATGCCGTGTAAAATCGTTTTGCAAGTTTAGACCTGTGTCAAAACGACTGCAAGGCAAAAATATTGACCGGTTAGATTGTTGCCAATCCGATCTATTCAAAGATATGCAAGGTGAAGTCCTACTTAAACAATGTAAGCAAGTGGTGTGAACCACATGATTATCTTCTCGCTTCGCTGGGTTCACAGACTATGGTCTGAAGATATACAAACTTGTATCTACACGATGGTACCCGAGTCGCGAATAGAACGTTAATTAGGAGTATAGTTATATATGCGAACCATGAGAGGTTATCAGGCGCAGATATCGGGTTAGTCAAACAAACCTAAACGAGCTAGCATTCAGCCAGTGACAACCTTAGGGGTTTATGTGTTCAAAACTTTTTAACCTATGAATAGGAAGAAAAAAGCACCGGATCATGATGTGTGAAGAATTGAGCGCAGGAGAGCAGCAATTGCGGTCACCACGCAGTTTCAGGTGGTCCTCGTTAACGAATTGAATATGTCTCAACCGGGGGATACAAATAGTTCATACTAGATTAGTGAAGTTCTGAGTGCAAATCGAGTAGAAAATATGATGCATGCAATTGCCGCAGAGAAGCAGTCATCAGTGCCCATTTGGTGTGGAATTAACATCGTTAAATGGGTGTGAGTTGATCCCCTGTTGAAATGTTTGAATATTTCTCATATCGAGTAGAAATTGTCCAGTAATTGGCTATATCTTATGCATGAGCGTAGATTTGCTCCGAATCCGATACACATAAGAGCAAAGTAAAGGAGTTGCAATCACCTACCTAGTGAGCGACTTTCAGTTTAAATTGGCCCCAACCTATCTGCAGTTTAGTATTAACAACTGTCAATTAGTAGAACGTTCGGTGTTGCTCCATCCAAACGCTGCAATTCAGGACTGGTTTCCTTCTTGGTTAGGCTCATTAGGTATCGATAGATGAAGCTGCGTTTTGACGCCGAGATTACATGTCACATTGCAAGTGTACGGCGTGTATTCCAAAGTCTGAGATTAAGTCCCTCTCTAGAGGAAACCGGGGGGGCTTTGTAATCATGCCTATTGAACCACCCCTTTTGAACCATTGTATTCTCGTTACTTAAAAGCCGCTTAGTTTATAAGGACAAAGAGCTTCACATACTCTTGTTGACTACATCAATCGCGTGGGTTTGCCCTTCCGACGTAGTATATAAATACTCGCTAAGTCAAGGCAGGTTACTGGTATGCAACTTCATTGGCATATGCAATTTGACTAAAGACGTTTCATTCTTCAGTGGCTAGGTTAAGCAATTTTACCCCTCATTCTAAGAGACATGAGCATCGTGTTTATCACAACAAACAAGAAGTTTCACATCAGCTGTAGTCTACAAGCTATAATGCTTTCCAATTTACTTACCCAGACCATTTTCCAGTTTCAAATTTGTCGGCTGGAGAAGACAGGCTTTTCCTTCTCGTATCCAAAGAAAGACTCCCAACGACAGAATTAACCACCACCAAAATGTCACGAAACCAACTGTCAATGCGGTGAAGTATGACGGGATCCGACTTGTTTTCCGATTTGATTCTACTTACAATTTTACCAAAATCCGATTATTTGCTTCGAATGATTTCAGCAACAGTGTGGCTTTACCCAAAAATATTTCCACTCGCATCACTCTATCTCATCCGAGCTATTCGGAAACACATGGGGCAACAAACGATGGGCAAACTGCTGTCTTCACCACGAGATTCAAACAAGATCGGTTCAACCCCGTCTCTCGTTGGATAGAGTTGCCAAAGCAAAAGATATCTGATTTTGAGCCCAGGAACACATTAGGTCTAGGACGATTTGTCGAATTGCGGCTTCATTTTGCCTTGGACTGGATTGCGATTGGAGAGGTGGCATTTGAAAACCGTGAGCAGTCATTTTCCCTTGTCTGCAGTTGAAGCTTGTTCTTCCAGATTTGATGCTTAGACTATTTACAATTATATTATTGGGATGCTAATAGCACAAAAGTACGTTGACGGTTCCAGAAACTTTGAGCTAACATGTAGTAATTAATTAATGATTTGCCTGTATAATCTGCCTGTGATAGGAGTAACTGCAGGTATTGCAAACAGTTATATGTGATTTCTGGTATAAATTTTATAGGGTTGGAATGTTGTTTAGTACTTACCGGCGTTACATTTTAGTTATTTTGAACATCTAATATACGCCATAAAGGCTAAATCAATAGGATTTACTTCAGCGACTTTACTATAGCCTGCAGAATTCTCACCTTTCCAATTTCAACTTTTCTCCTGCCATCCATCTGTTACGAAACAAGTCCACTGTGATTACAAATTGACTCAGTCACACTGTTGGTGTATGAACTTTTGCTACAAGCCATGAATGATTTCATTCACATTTAGGCAGGCATGCTTGATTAGGAGTAAGTTGCCACTTTGAAATGCATCTGACATATTTACCTATGCACTGCCCCAGGTAATCAAAGAGAAATATAGCATACCTATCAGTGGGACCCGGACTCATTCGCTTACGCGTGCACAGTAGAAACCCATGTGAAACCTTAATTTAAAGTAGGGCAAATAAAATCAGTTTAAGAACTAACATGGATGTCAATACTTTGGGTCTTCATATCAAAGTATGACATCACAGAACAAATTTTTGTCTTCATTGCGCTTTTGAGTTAATGAGACAGAACAAGACATAAGCAATATAACTTTCATCGAAGGAGTTAAAACGGGTTTTATAACATTTGTTTGCATGTTTTACTGCCTAAATACAAACTATCCATCTCCTTAATTCCATTTAGCTTTTTACAAATTATAGCGATAATTCTACATTATCCAACGCCCACTCAACTACAACAATATTACTCAAATGGCTTGTGTCCCAGTTTGCCTTTTGAGTCTATCGTTCTCAGTTTTTAAGAATAAACCTGGCTTCCAAGCGTAGTAACTACTTCAGAAAAAAACGAAAAATTAGAATACGCAAGGAGCTGCAGGTTTGCAATGATAAATTGTAAATGCAAGTGAAGGCGAAATCTAATCCGTGGGTTACTTGCGGATGGAACCGATACCAGTCCTGTTCAAGCACAGTGGTAATGTGACCTCGCAGTTATCTGAAAACCAGTTCCCAAGCGAAAATTTGATTCGCCGCATGGCTTACATGCCGCAATGAGTGATGTTTACAATCACAGTGTCCACAAGCCATGTTAGGAGTAGGCATATCTGATATGAATCACCGCCGACATTTTTACTCGCGGTGAGAAAACCAACTGATAACCATTTGGATGTTATCCGAGGAAGTAGTTGCTAAGTCAGCATCCATCATGAGTTCTAAAGCATTATTTTCTTTAAAATACTGGGGGAAGTAATTACGGGCATCAAGCTAGGAAACGGAGACGTCTGGTGCTATCCTCATGGTGTGATATGAATTTTTGTAGTTTTAGCAGATACAGTATTTGGTGAGCATCCAGTTTTGTATATTACATCGTCTAGTCAGTCGCTGCAATCTACTCACCATTTGGTATACAATCTTGCTAAAACACCATCACTGGCATTCGTATCTGCAGAAGTGAATTATGAAATTTCACTGGTCGCGAAAACCGCCCATAAAACAATTACCTTGTGAACTGTGGTCATTTAAACTATTGTACTGAACCGTGATATCTGTTGTCTTGTTTCCAGAGGCCGTTGACAATCGAAGGCTCCAATTTACACCGAAGAGTAACGTTGGTACTCCAATCCAAAAAGTAAGCGTCCTCACCTCAACTCAGTTTCCTGCACATACCCCAGTGGACGAATTGAAGCTCGTTCAAGGCCAACCGACAGCTACAACATTGGCTGTCGTATGCAGCATCCTAGCTGTTCTGATTTGCCTAGGACTGTTGTGCTCTTTATATTTCTGGAGAACGAAGAGCGTAACTACGGCCCTCAGACGTCAATTTCAACGAGATAAGAGAAAGTTGAACAAGCCTAGTCAGCATGATTCTCATAAGGATTTAGCGACTTCAAACACTTGTAACCAAACGCATATTACCAAAGACGTACAATACAAACACCTTCAGTTGCCCTCCGAAAGGATTTTCGAAAATCAAACCAAGTTTCAACAACCGCAAAACTGTCAGGACCCAGCAATTGCGTGCTCAACGAACGAGACGGTTTCATCACCTGTTCAGCTGTACACAAGCCATTTGGTACCCTCATATCACGCTCCCCCTCAAGCAAATGCCAATTTGACGCATGTGTTTCATCCTAACTTGTTGACTAACCTACAACAATATCCGATATCTGCTAACGGGTGTACTCCAACTTCAAGCATTGAGCCATGTCTTATCTCGAATGCAAGCAAATTGACCAAGGCAAATGAAGTCTTAAACTTCTTACCTCTGACCACATCGCAAGTAAGCTAATCGCTTAAGAGTAAACATTTTAGCACTGATAAACTGCATTCAGTGTTAAAAAGCAGCAAAACGTATTAGTATTTTCTGTTAGCAATACAACACGTATTAAGCAGGATCATAAAGTGATACCCATAAACTTTTAAGGAGTCTCATCAGTAAATGTGTGAATATTTATTTTAAGCATATATTCTATGGTTTTAAGGGGATGGTGTTCAACGTATCGGAAACAAGCGTACAGACGCAAGTTGAACTCGCCGAAAGAGTGAATCAATTAATTTTGTTAAAACTTGCAAAATCAGTTTGCTAGACACGTAAGTTTCTATACACTGCGTTTTTATGTTTTTCATCTTTGCTTACAATAAAGCGTAGCAAAATAATGATTTCGGAGTAAATTTTCGATAGAGATTCATTGCAAATATAACCAAGAAAGCGTTGTTCATTCGATAGGTCATTCGGGGAATCAACAGTACTGCGCATACCATCTCTCTTTTGGAGCTGGAACCAACAACCATGCCGTTACGCGTCCGCAGGAAATGTGCAGCATCCGTCATGAATAAGTAACTGACTGTGGCTTGGCGTGTATACTCATTCTCAATTGTCATGCCCGTTGCCACCTTGTAGTGGACAGGGCTGGCTTTGCTTACCACGGCTTATTGTATCAAAGCACCATAGGAGACAGACAACATGAGCAACGCGGTCGAGTCCCGAAAGGTTGAAACTTCCAGATGGGCAGTGTCTATCGGATTGGGTTGCGTTCGTTGCTTATCTCTGTTGAACATTTAACGCGTTCCCCTTTCAGCAATATATAAGATGCAATGATTTTTGTAAGACAGAATAGTGTACCATAAGGCCATGACGCCACACATTTCACCAACCTTCATGGTGGACATTCAAATCCGAATCCTTCTCCTGCGTACCCAGAGTACCGAACAATCACCAAAGAATAGTGAGCTTGATCCGTTTCTAATGTTGCACGTGCGAATCAGAGTTGGTTCTTAATAATTTGTTTGGATAGATGATTCCAATAACAAAATTGGTGCATCAGTTTGGGATATTTCATTGCTCTTAAATGGCACGCAAGGGAGTAATTACTTGTACATTGGTGGGGAATGTGTTTACTTCGTGTGTGATACACGAGTTGGTACATGATATATGGGCAATTAGATTGTGATGTGACGAGCCATTTGTGATAGGCAAGGGATATGCCACAGGATAAAGTAGTTGTTAACGTCGCCGGTTGATTGATTTCATAAAAGTAGCGCTGTTTCACCTATTCATTTTCCTTGTGATGCAGGTTGCATAATAAAATATGATGTAAAACAGCATTTATTTTCGTTTGACATATCAATTCGGAACTCATTTTGTGATGCGCCAATGTAGTACCAAAGTTTGGCTAAGAGATGTTTGATGCTGACTCCTGTGCCCTGATTAATACAAACATTTACTAAACGTTCATATGTGAATGTTGCAAATATCTGTTGCATATTCTTATCTTTAACTAAAACAGCTTTGTGTCGCCATGCGAGAGAGGTCTCAAAAGCCTTATGACTGGTTTACAATCGAACATTGTGTTAGATGGAACGGGTACTGACCTAGGACTTATCTTGTATGATCGTTATGATTTTTTCAAGTCACATCAAACCATGTCCTCTCCTATTTTACAGTTACAAATCACTTTTATTTTTCTGTCAGGTTGAGTGTTTCGTCAACCAGATGCAACTAGGCTGCAGCAAAACGGATCCTTTCAGGAATCTTCTCCCTGATAGTGCTATTTACACGAGTTTGCCTGGTTCAGACTACGACTCTCAGGCTTACTCTCGCATCAGCAGCGCCGGATGTATTAGAAACCACAGAACTGCAGCAGTAGACATGGACCATCGATCTGGGGAGGGCGCTTTTGGATCCACAGCTGCCATGGCACCTTGTAATTTCTCAGTTGGACTGCCGTCAACTCTTATTAATTCTACGGTGCTACCTCCACCGCCACGCTTTCCGCTTCCTCCGCTACCTGTGCAGAGCTTTTCCCCTAATTCTAGCCAGGGGTCTCGGTCACTTCCTCCTGAAGAAGCAACTGTTCACATGTTGCACTCGGACAAAAATACTAATGCATCTGATTGGCATCCGCAGTCAAAAAGCACTAACGACCAAGGTTGGTCTACTCGAGTTGTTGGACATTCCGAGAAGAAATACAATAGGCTAAGCAATTTTGTAAACTTCCAAGGTACATCTTTGTATAGTTATTTTTAGAGTTTGAATAATGTAAACTTAGTGAAAGAAGCTAATGTGAATCTTGTTTCTAATATATCACCAGCTTTCGGTTGTGCGACCATGCTTTTTCGTGTTTTTCCACTAAGTTTTTCGCTGTTGCATCGCATTCCAGCTTCCGACTATTCCAGTGCAACCATTGGCAGCAGCTCTAACAACGGATATGGAGCATATTACGGGACACCCAATGTTTTTCCTGGGTCCCATGGATTAGGAATTCCCACATACCCTGTGCAGGTGAGAAGCTAAACCTCAAGAATTCATTAATGAAGAAGTATGCATTAGGTATTTTGAATGGTCTTACAGTCAGTCAGTAAATATGGGTCATAATTTGTTGATGAGGGTCAAGATATCTGACGATGAGCGGTTCACGACAGATCTCTGTACTGCGCACCACATTATCCTAGAGGTCAAAAACATGATATAGCGAACAGATGTTTTTCAGTGGCTCAGCTTCAGACTAATATATAAAGATGGGAGGGGCTAATTCAAACACATTGTACAAATGCTTCTAGTAAATTGGTCGAAATGTTTACTTGACATAACTAAATGATTGGTTTGCTCAAGGGCAACGCAGAAGACATGGCGCGATTGCCAAAGTTAGTTGAGGCGGTCTATGGCCAAGGCAGCCGAATGGTAGGTACTAGTTTCCTTTGAGCGCATAGCTCCGGATGTCGAGGCGGGATCACAACTGCCTTTGCTATCGTCAGTAGACCGCTACTGACCGTTCGCCTGTGGTGTCAGGTTATCTGGTAGATGGGCTGAAATGCCTCTTGCGTGCTGACCTAATGATTCGATTCAATTAGGTGCGACAACAGCGCCCCCTTTTACAACTCCCTTATACCAGTGCTGTGAAAGCATTGTAATGTGCCCGAACTCTTTCAGACACATACTTGGTGGTCATCACAATATATCTTGCTTCACACGAACAAGATTTGTATACACCAAAGGTAAAGTCAGACGGTGTTAATCTGTCCTTGATTTGCTGACTCACAATCGATGCTGTATTAAAACTGACTCATAAGTCGCCAACGGGAAATGTTCTGGTAGCGGCATCAGAGAGCTTTCAGGCTGTCCCCGTTGCAATAATTTCGCCTTTAAATGGTACCTAAAGGCAGATAAACATTTTTGCAGTGAATATTGTTTCATTTTTGGTGCTCCTACTTCCATGTATCGCGACTAACATAAATGGGTGTCTAGTTATATAAACACTTTACGAATGAAACGTAGTTCTTCGGAAAACGTGTCTTCCCTACATATCCTTAGCACTCTCTTTTAAATAACGAATGAGTTTTCATTGCTTACTCATTGGAACGAAACTAGCGTATTAGATTTACTGCGCGTTCCATGTTCCTTTCCTTTGAACTCGCATTTATGTTGTCTTTCTGGCGGAACTGGACATCTAAAAATGCTATGCATTTGTTGCGCTCAAGCTTTGTGTTGAAAGTTGCATTGTTATGTGTATTGTTGAAGTTGAATAGCAGATCTTTAGTGCGTATCTGGCTATCCGGGACAGAAAATACGTCGTCTATCCAGCGAATATAGTACACCAAGCTTTCGTTGGACGCATTCATTTTGCTGTTCTCCAACTTACTCATAAAAACATACACCAGCATTAGCCTAAATGATGAGCCAATTTGCACCCCATCTATCTGACAATAAATTCCGTCGTTAAATTGGAACTGGAAGTTCTTGGCACATATCCGCAAGAGCTGTTTTAAACTTCCTGTTTAGATGCCTATGTAGATTTGGTGCAGCGAGATATGGTCACCTATATATTCTATAGTTTCCTCTACTAAAACAATTGTGAAAAGAAACTACTTCTAACAAGAACAAGTTATGCCACTGAGTTGAAGAAGTCGATGGTTCTATATGACTATGATTCGCTAAGGTTATCTTGACTGGCTGTAAAACTTTGTCTAGCCATTAGACAAGTGGATGGCGTGAAGAGTCACACAGATCTAACACTGGTCATATTTGCAACATTTGTTTGGAATATCGATAGACCATAGATTATCGGATTCACCGGTCCACTGGGTCCGACGTGTGCATAAGTACCAAGGTGAATTAAGCTTCTGGTTTCAGTCGACACAACAGTTTGGATATTGGCATCTCTATCACCCTTGCTTCGTAATTCACGTTCCCCTTTTTCCTGCCTTTTGATCAGTCACCAAGAAATGTTCAGCCTTTTGATTTAATCCGATTTATCCATTAGGATAATACCAGTATCCTTATCTGGTTTGAAAAACAGAACAGTTTCATTTAGCTAGACATCTTTTAAAGCGATTGCTTCCACAACAGATATTTGGCAGCGGGTTTGTAACTATACTAATAACACGTGTTGATCAGCGTTGGTGTGTACTGCTCTACTGCCGTCGCGGACAAGGGAACTTTTGTCCAAGCGATTGAATCTCGAGTAATGTCTTCTCCAATTGCGAAGACAAAACACTACACATCTTTAAGTGTTATGGAAATAAATTATGTGGCTTAATCGCATTAATTCGCCGCTACAACAAGGGTACTCTTATTTCCACTTGACATGCCATGATTCGCTGAACGTAAGATTCGGACAGTATATAATCTTCCTCATGCATTTTCTATAGTGAACCTGTATAAACAACCCGATTATGATAAAGTTCGTCAATTTGTAAAACAACCCTGCCCTGCTTATGCAGTGTGTGGCGTTTTGACGGTATTAGTTGGATTGATCCGATTACGTCTGATTGTCTTCCAACAATCTCTAGGATATTCACGGTGTTGTAAGCACTCGTTTAGGGACTGTGCTGTCGCTTTTCTGCCGTAAGTTTTGTGCTGAACTTGGCATACGGGTCAACTTCTCTAACCACAGTGAAATCCTTGGTATGTGGCATTTTTGTGCTAAATACGTATATGTACTTCTGTCAAAAAATTTAAAGATGATAAATGAGCCTTTTAAATGTTTACGATGCTTATTACATGCTCCTGAAGCAAAACTAGATGTTGCTTGTACAAGACAGTGAACAAAACATAAATTAGCTATTTGTGAGTACGTTATTCCAGAATACACACGGATGAGTTATAGTGGATATCAAGATAACGTCTCCTTAGTATCCAATGCTTATAACTACTTAGATAATTTCTCCAGTAAGCGCAGTACTTTGAACAAATAGCTTGGTCTATATATTAGACGGTTTATGTTTACTTTGCGCTTCAACAATGGCCTCTCACTGACATGATCCAGCCAGACATAGGATGTCTAAACACGAGAAGTTTAGCAGCGATGAACCTGGAATGTCATGGGTAGTGTCATTATGTAACAAGTTTTTTCGTATGTAATTAGGCTAAAGTAAGTGTTTTTCATTCGGGCTTTTATACAGGTTACTCCGTTACAGGCTCACCGATGAAACGGAGTCATTCAGGCCAAACATGGTCTCCATATGTTGTTCTATTCTTACCAACCGACAGATATCCCGGTCACGTGACTACCAGAATTCATTCCAGAGGTAAGAATGACGTGGATGAGATGTGAGCAGGCTAAGTATTAGATACAGTTTAGAAAACTGGACTTTTGCCGGAAGTCATTTTAATTGCAGTACAAATTCCAGCTGAAATATTATGCACATATACCCAGCAAATTGGCATTAAATTCCTATGTTTGATTGTGACACACAGTTATGAAACTGCTACAGAATGCACTTCAAGACAAACGAAGCTGCGTTATCATATTATAAACCGCACGTCTGGCTCCTTCATAGAATCAGGCAAATAAACATATTCTGTGGTTTTAATAACCAATTATAAAGCCAGCCTGAATAGGCACCCACCGACATAAGTTGCGCAAATGGAAATATGTTGAAATATCCCTACAGAATAAGTTTCGCTTCTTATTAACTAGGTTATAATTTGTTTTGGTTTATCACATTTTGATTCCAAGCCGCATAGGTAAACTACATCCCGGAACAGCACCAGACGCGTGTTTCTCCTTATTGAGGCTCGTCCCTGGTGCCCAATCATCGGTCCCCTACTGGGAATCAAAACCATGGCAGCTAGAGGCTAAAGCCAACCAGACAGCAGCTTATGCTACTGAGTCATGGGGGAAGACAACCGACCATTGCGAATTGAAACCTAATTGGTTCAGTGGTCTAAGCTGTTGGCTAGTTGGCGATAGCCTCTAGCGGTCATGGGTTCGATTCCAAGTAGGGGACCGAGGGATGCGCACCACTGACGAGCCCGATAGGGCGAAAAGCGCCTCTGGTGCTTTTCCGGATTGGTAGCTTACCTATGCGGCTTGGAATCTAATTGCGATGAACCGAACCGAATCATACCCAAATGCGTCTATTCATTAGTAATCAGCTTGCAATTTATTTGGTTACCCTTTTATGTCAGGTCACCTCCAACCACTACTGAATGAGGAAATGTGGCTACAGCAAAGCATTTATTTGGTCTCACTTCTGGCGAACAGAATTTCAATTGTCCAACATTCACACTTCAGCGTTATGACATTTTTGGCTGTGAGTTGCTATACAAAACTGTAAATTTTTAACCAGAACCATCTTTGTGTTAACTTCGATTGCGCATTTTATTTCAATGCGTCATTTCCGTTATACACCAGTCTTCTTGTTATCCACAGTGATATGAGTGGAACCAGTGTCCAGCTTATCATGTAAGACCTAAAGACTGAAATTACCAAAGCTGAGGATTTATTTTGTGTGTGTGTGTGGTGCGGCATCCATATTGGAATACAGAAGCCACGAATCGCCAAAGTATTCTCAATGAACAACTCACACCATACACTTCTTCGTATCTATTTCCTTGCTGAGATTTCAGCCTGATTTGTACATAATGGAGTACATGTTTTCTGAATTTGTACGCTTTGTTATGGAAAAAGTAATTTTTCATCTTCACCACCTTTTAATCACATTTGAATTTAAACTGGGATTTCTATTTCTGAGTTAATCGCTCAGTTCAAAACAGCCAGTCTTGTGCAGCGAGGCTCCATTGCAACAAGGCAATGCTTGAAATATGCACGCGCGTGGCTATCAGCGGCTGGTGCATTAGGTCCTTAGAACTGTATATTATTCCGCATTTGTTTCAAAAATAACGTTCGGTTTCTTTATAATCCAGGTGAACTTCACGTCCGTGTCAACTGCACTATGGAAGTAACTGCTACTAAAATATTAGTTTAGTTCAGTTGAGCAACTACGATCCCAGTACCTAAGTGCTGTGGAGCCAGTTGCCACAACTCACACCGTAAGGATAACAATAGATAACAACGGTAAGACAGGAGGTTTGGGTGCGAATAGAATGTATAGAAAATAGAAGCAAGATTTTAATGGGTTAGACTAATAAGAATGGAAGGAAACTTAACTACCAGATGAAAGAAACGGAATGCAGGGACGCCAATTACTTGGTGACTGTGCTATGTCCGACACAGTCGCCAATCATTGATGTGGACAGTCCAGGGACACGCACCAGCCTGACCAAGTCTCTCAGTCAATTACTTCATGCTTCCGTGTCACGTCATGGACTAGCCACCTCTAGGTTTCAGCTTGGTGCAACCACGGCGTATAATGTACGTCGAGGAAGCCGATCAAGGGGAATACGGGGGACATGACCTAGGCAACCCAAGCGACTAAGTTTCAGCAAACATTTGCGTGAGGCACCAGAAGGCACTTTGCCAAAAAATAACTGGCGGGCCTCAGCATTGCTCACCTGGTGTTCCCAGGAGACATGAGCAATAGTCCGCAAGCAAGTAGATAAACACGATGAAGTGTTTAATGTATTCGCCGCGGACTGGCTAGGTCTCTTAGCCATAGTGTAACACAGGCCTTATCGCAGCTTTATACACCCTACCTTTTACTAAAATGCTAATATTCCGCCACCTTTATAGATGGCTTAGCCAATGGCAAGCCACACGAGCCTTGCTGATACGTGAAGTCACCTCTTCAGTGATGTCATCGTCAAGCTTGACAAGGCTAACAAGGTAAGGGAACCGATCCAACACTTTCACTGGCTGTTGGCATATAGCCAAAACCCGAGGTTTGTCGGCCCATTCCTGCAATGGCTTTTGTAGTTTGGAGGTGCAAAGTACATGCCGGTGTGCAACGCTACGCACACGCCTGAGCGTTAGTGTTTGCATAACCAATGATGCAAACCCAAGGAGAACTATATCGTCTGCATACTCTTGGTTTGTCAGTCGGTAGACCTGCAGAACTTCCACTGCAGAATAGTCTGAAAGAACCGAGTCATTCATGCTCATTTCGATTATAAATTGAGGAGGAAGGAGATATAGTACAAAGTTGGCGAACCCCGCTTGTCGTGGGGAACTCAGCAGATAGTTTTCCGTAGACCCTTACAAGGGCTCGGGAATCAGGGTATAGGGACTTAAGAATGGCAGGAAGTTTAGGTGGCCCGCCCTTCATGGATAGGCAGTGCCATAATCTTACGCGGTCAACAGAGTCTACGGCAGCTTTCAAGTCAAAAAGAACTACCATAGATGATTTTTTGTATGTGTGTCTCTGTTCTAACTCTCGGCGAATAACAAATATATGGTCGATGCAACCACGAGCAGGGTGGAAGCCAGCCTGGCTTTCAGTTATTGGGTCCTCATGGGGACCAATAAGTCTTTCAATAAGTGTTGAGGCAATAAAAGTAAGTCTAATGCCTCAGCGATTTTCGCACAAAGTATGTTGCCTCTACATGAAAATGGCACGCTAGTTAATAGTTACCAGTTTGAATACATTTCATTAGTGTCCCAAATGGTGTTAAATTGAAAAGCAAGTCCAGTCAACAAGGAGCCACCGCCGTCTTTCAACAAAGATGGGGGAAGGTCGTCGGTTCCAGGAGCCTTGTTTGGTTTCAACACCGAATGGTCATATCATTCATGTCGTTCCAACTGGGAGGTGTGACATCAAATTCTCACGAAGTCTTAGGCGATTTGGCAGGTGGCAGTGTGGCACAACGTCTGCTGAACTGTCCCTCATGTTGTTCCGTCCAACGGGCTAGTCGACAATGCTGGGAATGGATCAACAGTCCATGGTTTTCAACTATTGTCTCGCTAATAGATGACTTTTTAAGACACTAGAGGCTGAAGTTATATCCCTTTAAGGCTGGTCGTTGTAATTTTGAAGTGCATTTGCATTTCTGCCATGGAAATTACCTGAAACTCTATTCGATTGAGAAGCGTGACATGATTCACACTGCACAAAGCTTCCCCTAAATAGTACAAGTGGACCTGCTTGTAGTAACTTTGCTGAACATGTTGCGGCATAGTCTAACACAGTGTGATTTTGCTGGGGAAAGGTCGCCTGCCTGCGGTCAGACTTCGGATGCTTTACCCAGTCACGTATGTAAAATCCACCGCTAAACGATGCACCGAGCTTATGGTATTTTGATAATCCTGCGCGTATTAGTGTGCTTAGGCTATGAAGAACGCTCCACAGGGTGAAGTGTTGCAGGATATTGTGAACAACCTCACCGCAGTGCGATGGATAGGTGATATGTATACAAGCCTGCTGGGATATCGATATGTTCATGGTATGCGTGAAATTCCTGACCAAAATATCCGGCTATACAACCTAAAGTTGAAACATACAGTTGCTAAAATTGTGGGTAATGGAATTAACACTGTACCTTCATCACAGTTGTGCTTAAGGAGGAAGTCCATGTCACCACAGCTATGAGCTCGGTAATTTGAGTTTGAAACATGAAATTCCATTTATGATTCCAAATATGGAGCTAAGAAGATGAAGGTTGTGCGCTGCCACCCTTTATTTCGTAAGTACTCGTCTGCCAAGTACATGCAACTAATAAGGAAATCAAAGCAATATTACATGACAGCTTATCGGTCAGATTTACTAAATTTAGTGTAACTTTGTATCAATGGAAGTCGTCTTTAGACACAGAGCAGTGGGCATTGCCAATCGATAACAATGGCTTTGGTGTGCCTGCGGATTCGAGACCTTTGACTGCGAACGTGGACGGTGAATGTTGCACCGGAGATTAGCTGGTGACTGGTATTCCTCAGATACCTCGTAGTTGCAGTGGTAACTTGATTTGCAAATGCACCAGGTGCAACCGTCGCGTGCTTCTGGCCAATCGATTATAAATACCCTTTAGTTCGAAGTATCTTCCGTCGAACTCATGTGATTTGAGCAGTGAGCATGAGCAGGGAAAGAGCTATTGCGTTACATGTTGCAATCTAGTGGTTATACAGTGAAGTTCTTACAACGTTTCACTGCCACGAAAAGAAATCGACAGATAACAGTCAAAAATAAACCAGTTTCATAGGGTTGCTTTTAAATTTGACCTGCTAATGAAAGTTACCGTGAAACGAATATGCACCTAAATGAAAAAGACATACAATGCATCAGCGCTATGCTACACAGAACTAAGTGTCAAGAAGACTACTGCTTAAGTGCAGTGAAGACACTGGTGCCGAATCAATGCACCTCCCATTGATAAAGATTAGCTTTCTGAGGTGGTAAAATATGCTATTCTCGATGGAAAATACCGTAAAATTTCTGCAGTGCCAACATAAAATTTCGTGCCCTACTTGTGAAAACTAAAATAAACAGACGTCCAGATATATAAGTGAAGGGTTTTCTGTGTTGCACTCTCCCATCCAACGTCGTTCGGATACGGTCCCAGAGAACGGAATGGCATAGGCTAACTACAAAGACAACCGAAGCCACAATTGGGATTGCGTGTCACAACGCCAGATATACGGCGGGTACTCCAGTTCCCCCTAGTATCAGAAGTCCAAGCACGTCCATCCACTAAATACATGCTGTCTATGACTCGAAACAGAGGGACTAAAATAAGGCCCAGCAAGCTGCTTCGTTCTGTCTTCTGTAAGGTGGTGACACTAAACAGCAAACATTTTTATGGACTAAAACTCCGTTCGGCGTCGACCGTATTTATAGGAGTGCGTAGATAAGGGCTGGTAATGTCTGCCAATTGCGGAGTCCTTTCACACATCTCACACCAGAAGGCCATAGCGTCTTCACATTTTTCTCTATACAGTTCTCCAGCCCGTTTAGCGATCCGGCGAACAGAGCTTCAGATTAAACCAGGCTTGGGATGACGACACAGATGCATGGATCACAAAATGATGAGCTGGCTGGGGTCGAACACTCTAATGTCTTTCATTACTGCCAGCAAGCTTGTGATTTCCGCAGCGCCTGGGCCCTTTTGGCAGCTTAGGAGAAGCAGAGTTGCAAGTCAGTTTAAACTTTGCTAAATGCATCAAAACGCAGTCCCTCTGTCTGCAAACGCCACTTCCAGTTTTTATCACCGGCATGGGTAGATCGGAAAGGACTTTGTGAATCTTGTGGGTTACCGAAAACTATGATACAGCAGCTTTCAAGTGACGGATGATGTTTTTACTAATAATCGCCGTGCAACTGTTGCGATTTCGAAGCTTCTTGTGTTGTTTTGTTGGTCAAAAGAGCTGCAATTTCACAAGCACTAGTAAAGTCAGGTAGTACAGCTTTCAGCCAAGCTGGGTAATGATGGAATTACTTGCTGTGATGTGCGAATCTTCCAGCCAGAAGTTCCATCGGGTGATGACTGCTGCAATTGGGTCAGTGGGATTATGCACGCCTTCTTGGGTTAGATATTTAATGTAGACATGAAAGATTAAAGGCCTTTCAGTTTTGCAACGAATCTGTCGACTTACCTATAAAATCTGCGAATGGTCTCTGCAGCAAAATTGATGCAATGGACAGCACATGTAACGTGAGATGTATCCTCACAAACAGGTTTAATATCATCTCGATAGCATCCTGTCATATAACTTACGCCATGGTACAAGAAAGCCATTACACGACCCACCATTTGTCAGCTGCGTAAAATGGATTTTCCATCCGTGGCAGAATTGATTCTGTCCAAGTTGCACTTGTC